AGTGTACGCAGACACTGTGGGCAAGGTGGGTTAAGTGTCTTGCTCAAGGACACAACAACAACATTCATCTGTGGGAGCTGGAATCACACCAGCCAACCTGTAGGTCAGTGGATCTGACCACCCAACCGCCAACCTTCAGATCAGTGGACGAATGCTCTACCAACTGAGCTACTGCCCCATATGACACTAACAGTAGGTGGACATAATTTAAGACAGCAGTGATCTCGTACAGAAATCATTTTTCTATCAATAATATTTATGTTCAGATTTCCTCATCTTTGTTTCTCTACAGCAAACAGTTGTTTATTCATGGAGACTTGGGCTCAACAGAGAATTTGAAGAGAACAAACAAGAATTTTCAGGATGTGGTTGGTACATTCATGTAGTTTTGAAAAGCATGACAATATCAAGTAATCCAAAGTATTCAGATTACGTTACTCACCTTAAGTACCTTAATGGATTGCATTACAAACTACATTTTGGGGTATGTAATCTGTAATCTCTAGGGTCACCTTCTCAACACTGCTGACTGTACATGAGTGAAATGAGCTGCACGAAACCTGCACACGTACGATCTGCGCATGCACGATCTGCACACATACGACCTCTGAAAAGTTTTACATGAACCACTTCCAAGGCTATGTACACACAGAACAGACTCACCATCAGCAGCTGTAAAGTTCTGTTTATTTATGCAGAAGATTTGAATGAATAATCTGCTGCAGTGTAAAACTTGTATAATCGTATTTGGAAATGTTGTGTAGACAGACAGACAGACAGATGTCCCCACATGCAGCATCCAGTGCATGGAGCAGGAACCTCTGGTCTGGAGCCCGATGTTCATACACTCTCCACCTCCAAGAGGAAAACACTCCTCAGTCAGATTGAGGAAAGGAGAGTGCGGTGGTAGTAGCTCCATGAGCATCTTTAGATGGAAGTGAACCAGAACCTGATGAACCACAGTGGAAATTCACACTGTCCCACATGATCACATAGTGTGATAAGAAATTCTAATTTCACCTGACTGACAAATACTTATCAAATGTTCCAAAAATATATATATATATATATAAAAAATCATACATGGTGTTGATGGTGTTATGTTCTTGAATAATTTTGACAGTTGAACAGACTATTGTGCAGATGATGACAGTGAAATCAGTCTGACATGTTTTGGAGAGAACGACCATTAAACTGAAAATCAACTCATCAGTTTAGATCAACAAGATCGATTTATTTGGAAAATGTGATGACTTGTACAGAACCATGTGCAAAGATCCAGTGAGACACTTGTGACATGCACTAAGACATTTACAATTTGATGAAAATAATGAGAAATGTCCTTCTGTTGTGAATGACTGCAAGGTGTTTTCGAGATTTGTCCATGTTGTTTTGAGAATGTCATTTCTGTTTCAAGAAATGAACCAAATCAATGAAAAACTGTAATACAGAAGGCTGTGACATCATCTGAAACCCAATCCAGAGCATATAGACTAATGACTACTAAAAGTGCTTGTTGTCAGAGTAATAACAGCCCATGTCTGAACATAACATCTGCTGTAATTTGAAAATGTATCTGAAAGATCAAAACAGTTAAAAAAAAAACGCATAAAATTGTGTGTTTTCTAGAGACAGACACAATAGTGAGACAAACTAAATCTGATCTGAAGGAGCTGCAAGAAACAACTGCAATTGTTCAAATCATTTCATATTGTTAACATAAAGATTTTGTAGATTTACTCACACACTTCCTTTTCCACAATTCCTCTCCTGGAAACAGAGGAGGAAGAGACAGAGGAGACAGACAGGAGGAAACACGAGCTGAGAGACTTTCATCTTTCCAAAATTAACCTGAGAACTATACCAAGGATTATTTAATATTATTATTATTATTATTATTTTTGTTTTGTTTTTTAAATCAAAGCCAAACCAACATCTTTGCTTTCAGATAAGCGTCTCTGAACATATCATAATATTCATTTTAATGTCAAATTTACAGCACCCCCCAACCCTAACCCAACATGTCAAAGATCCTGCGCTGCTCTCCCTGTGCTTGTGCTCTTGTGACAGTACAAACTCCTCACTGTCAGACAAATAGTTTTATTTTTTAAATGTATGTCTACTTTCTGAACTCACTCAGGCTTCCTTTGTGCTTTTTCTGCTAAGCTTTGGGACACAATTTAATATAACACATTTGACTGACATCTGAATAATGGAGGACAGAGTAGAGGAATGAAGGAAAAAGACGTGATGAAAAAGAACGGAGATGTGGCCCTTGATTTCTCTCCTCGATCCTTCCTTTTCAATAAAATGTGCCATATGAAGTGATGTCCCAAAGCTCAGGACAAGGGAAGGAAACCACAGAGGAAACAGGAGCGAGGGTTCAGGAGCAGATCAATAATACAAGTGTCACCCAGTGAGAAGTTTGTGTTGGTGCAAGGCACAAGAGCAGGGACAGCAGCAAAGGACATTCCAGTCTGAAAATAAACTTGATTTAAAAGTCCTGAAATGAGAGTATAAAATAATCCTCAGTATTGTCCTCACTACACGGTCATTTTGGTCACAAACAGATCCTGAAAGTCTGTCCCATTCACACTACAGCTGATGGCTCCTCCTGATCTCTCTTTTCTGTTCCTCTCACTTATGCTCCTCTTTCCTCCTCTCCTCTCTCTTCTGTTCCTCTCTCCTCTCTCCTCCTCTCCTCTCTTCCCTGCTCCTCTCTCTCCTCGCTGTATCTCCTCTGTGGACGGGACTTCCTCATCCATTTTCTGCAAAATCAAGGAGAAGGAGGTGAGGAAAGAGAAATGAGACAAAACTCAAGAGATAAAGAACGAAAAGGTGGAGACAAGAAGGGCATCTGGCCAGATTTGTCAAATTCAGAGATGTTAGTGCCGACCTTTTGAACAAAATGCAGCATCTATAGACATGCCCAAAACATGAATAAAGGAGGCTATAAGACTCTAATGCTGCAAAGTTATACAGGATTTGTTCCAGTTTTGACTTTCATATATTAAAGTAGTAAAAAGTAGGCCTATGATAAAATAGCATGTAACCAAGAAAGTCTAAATGTTATTTGGATAACACACCAACAGTTGGACTGCACCTCACTCAGGTTTCATGTTTGAACGTTTGTCTTTGTCTTATCCTCAGACTTTAGGCTGGAGGCCAGACTTTACTGAAACGTTCCACAGACAGTTTGGCCCTCCTCCCCAGGGCAGGTGCCTTCCTCTGGGGCTTAAAGCGTCTTGTCATTGAATTCAGTCCCCAGGGGGCACTGTTTCACGGCAACTCACAGTTAAGGTAATTCATTGCAGTTTTTGCTCTCAGCCTGGTCCAAGCCCAGTGTTGTTCACATATTGTGCTGGATGTCGACATGTTATGGTCTAATCTTATCCACCATCTTGTACTACAATCCCGCCCGAGCTGAAGCAGTAGGAAACTGTAAATTACGATTTCTCTACAAAATATTTTTCTTTACTGAAACACTTTAACCATTCATTTATTAAAACTTTTAGGCGTCTGTGCCGCTGTGGCCAGAGCGCGGCAGACAGAAGCAGCAGCCTCCAAGTCAAAGTTCTTACCCAACCTCGTGGAGCCAGTGTGTGTCAGTGTGTGTAGCTTGTGTGAAGAGCCAGTGTGTGCATCGTGTTTGTGGACGTGTTGTGGAGAGCAGAGCAGAAGGATGCGCTGGGCACCGCTCCTCATTGGCTGCTTCTCAGGCTCTTCTAGCAGATGGGCGGAGGCTCACGGCAAATGGCTCTTCTGAGGAGAGGATGGAGGAAAAGAGAAAGTAGAGGCGCTTCTACACCGGCTACAAACGACGCGAGGCGCAGGAGAGGACAGCGCACCTGCAGATCAATGAGCCAGAGCGAGACAGTTGTTCTGCTGAAGGTAAGAGCCGTGTCCGCTCCATAGAGCTAATAGTAAAGATGATGAGCCTCATCATGTGTGGAGGGTGGGGGTGGAGAGTTACATAAGAGCTTCATCATGGTCCTTAAGACAAACATCAGCTCTTGTCAGCAGATGTGGGTTCGGGAAAGCCTGTGCCGGCGCTGCCTGAGTGTGTGGTGGCCGCTGGTGTTTTAGTACGCAGGGGAACACCGAGTCTCTGCCGCAGGCCTGAAGCCTGTCTCCCAAGCGGACACTGGGCTAGCGTCATGTTGCCTCCTGCAGCGCAGGCTGTGATTGTGTGCGTCGTCTTTATTTCCATGACAACCTGTGGATTTAGGTCCACGGTGTGCGTGTGCGTAAAGCGGCCAGGTGTCTCTGGAGCCCGGGGCACTGCGCTGTGAGGGCCAGGATGAGCTTCTGTGGTCACGTGACAGACGCGAGGATAACACAGGGCCAGGACAGGTGCAGTCACATGTCCACAGTGTTTCACTAATTCACTGCGTGCTTAGGCCTACTGTAGACCTGGATGTGTAGGCGTCCACACATCTGGAAGCTACACACAGCGCTCATCTCTGGCATCTTACGTCATTCCACCAGTCGCCCCTTTTTCAGGCCGTTCTCTGTGGGCCTGGTGTGGGCCTGTGCTGCTGAACATCATACTGACAGTGGCGGACATGCAGAGTTAGTCCATAGGTCCCTGCGGCGTCATACACTACAGTCTAAAGTAAAGCACAAGTGCAGCAGTGTGGTTCCCGGTGTGGTGCCTGTGATGTGCCCAGTGCTGCTGTGTGTTGCCATGGAGATGAGCACCCATTCTCCTCACACACAGTCTGTCCAAGGCTGAGAGTGTTCTATCCTAACACTTTCTCAGCCCCAGACTCCAGAGGCCCCTAGAGGCCCCCAGAGGCTGGTGACAGAGCCAATCACACCTACACATTGTCTGAGTAAAGAAAGAGACTTTAAACCACCTGAAACCATTGTCTTCATCACAACATCATGAGTGCATGCTGCTCTGTCTAAGGAGAATCCTGCTCAGAGTACAGCACTTATAGAAAGAAGGGTAACATAAACATGTCTGTATTTCACAGGCTTAAAGATTTCAGAACCCCATGGAGCAGGATGTGGAGACCCCAGCGATCATACGACCCTCCAAGTTGCCCAAGCAGGCCCGTGAGGACCTGCCCAAGCACCTGGCCGAGATGGACCGAGCCAAGAAGATCCAGCGATATGTGCAGAAAGACGGCAAGTGCAACGTGCACCATGGAAACGTGCGCGAGACCTACCGTTACCTGTCAGACATTTTCACCACCCTGGTGGACCTCAAGTGGAGGTTTAATCTCTTCATCTTTGTGCTGGTCTACACAGTCACCTGGCTGTTCTTCGGCCTGATGTGGTGGCTCATCGCATACCTGCGCGGGGACTTGGACCATGTGGCAGACAATCAGTGGACTCCCTGTGTGAACAATCTCAACGGCTTTGTGTCTGCCTTCCTCTTCTCCATTGAAACCGAGACCACCATTGGCTACGGCTACCGCGTCATAACTGACAAGTGTCCTGAGGGCATTGTGCTGCTGCTGGTCCAGTCCGTGCTGGGCTCTATTGTCAACGCCTTCATGGTGGGCTGCATGTTTGTTAAGATTTCACAGCCAAAGAAACGTGCTGAAACACTAGTGTTTTCCTCCAACGCGGTCATCTCCATGAGAGACAGCCGACTGTGCCTGATGTTCCGTGTAGGGGACCTTCGAAACTCACACATAGTGGAGGCTTCCATCAGAGCCAAGCTCATCAAGTCCAAGCAGACCAAGGAGGGCGAGTTCATCCCACTCAACCAGACGGATATCAATGTGGGCTACAACACCGGAGATGACCGCCTCTTCCTCGTCTCTCCACTCATCATCTGTCACGAGATCAACCAGCATAGCCCCTTCTGGGAGATTTCCCAGGCCCACCTGGCCAAGGAGGAGCTGGAGATAGTGGTCATCCTGGAGGGCATGGTGGAGGCCACAGGTGAGAGCTAAGTGTGTGTGTGTGTATGCTCATATAACTAATACATGTTTAACATAGACTGTCTGTGAGCTGTCCTTCTCTGACTGTGACATGTCCTGGGGTCTCATTTATAAACCTTTACACAGGTACATACATAAACACTAAAGCACTAAAACACATCTCCTTCTGCCTCATTTTTCAGAGTGCCGATGTCAAAATTTTGTTTTTGGATGACTCATTTCCACGTCAACTCATCTTTTTAAAGATTGCAAACTTAACATATAGACAGTCATGTAACACAGTGTATGAATGAGCCTTACTCTGTCAGTGGATGCAGCAGTGCTCCACACTCGAACCATTTGCTGAACTGTGAAATAATACAATGATTCTACTCTGATTGGTGAGTGATGAAAACACTCCAATAATAGCCTAGAGATGAGCTCACAGCTGTGCCCCACATCTGTCTGGGGACTCCACTGGAACATGAACAACAAGCACTTTCTATAGTCTACCCCTGGACCAGAGGGGCCCAAAGATCTACTGCTTAGGACACAAGAGCTGCTGCATTAATAATCATAAAATAAAAACTGCTATTTTAGATTTTTTTTGTTTCACCAACAATGCTTTGCAAAATTGCAAATCCACTATTGCACCAGTATTAAACTAGGATTAAACTAGTACCAGCTAGGTCTGAGCTAGGACCAAACCAGATCGAAAGAGAATTACTCAAGAACTATACCAGGACCAAACCAGGACCAAAGAGAAACTGTTTTATGACTTGGAAGATGGGCTGTGGGCTTGATCCGGCAATGGGGGCACATGCACACACACACACACACACACACACACATACAGTGTGCGAGTCAGCCTCTGGTGACAGTTGGGACCCTTGGCGCTCTCTTTTCACTTGTTCTGATGACACAGAAGTTGTTAGTTCTTCCCGAGTTCCCTTGATGTTGATGTCTGTGTCTGTTGCAGGGATGACATGCCAGGCGCGCAGCTCCTATGTGAGCAGTGAGATCAAGTGGGGTTATCGCTTCACTCCGGTGCTCACTCTGGAGGACGGCTTTTATGAGGTGGACTACAACAGCTTCCACAACATCTACGAGACAAACACGCCCAGCTGCAGCGCCAAGGAGTTGGCTGACCTGACAAACCGTGCGCGCCTGCCTCTCACCTGGTCCCTGGCCAGTAAACTGAGCCAGCAGGGTCTGGAGGGGTCCCGGGACCCAGAGGAGAGCTCCCCAGAGCCATACACTGAGGACAAGAGCCAGACAGAGCGCAATGGGGACATCTCCAAAATGGAGAGTGAGTCCAAAGTGTAGCAGATGTAGGGTTACACTCCTGTTGCTGACTGACTGCCCCAGGACAACTCTGGCCCCTCTTAGGGGAATGACAGTAGTGCTTTGCACGCCCTCACACACAGATGATATTACACTACATTACTCTAGCCCTTTAAAGTTCAACCACAAAAAAAAAAAAAAAAACACAAAACACATGATGTAAAAGCACAGCTCAGTGTGAGGTGACACAACTCCCATAACTGAATCCAACATGTCAGTTACACTTCACCTCAAGGCTCCAGTTGTTCTCTCTGTATTGAACTAATCTCTCAAATATGAACAGTGGAAGCCTCTCAGAAGGTGAACTATGTCCAGATCTGAGCCAGGAACCTGGTCAGAGAGTCGGAGTTTGCAGTCTCTCATGAATCATCATAGGTCCTTATCAAGCTTAGCTCAAGATCTGGAGATAGGTCCCCAGCGCTATTCTGGGTGCTGCACTGGACTGCGTACTGCCCCTGACAGTTGCCCTGGTGGCAGTGAAGGATGGACACATTTTCCTATTCGGCAATAACCTTACCCATAATGACTGGGTATTTAGTATTATCAGAACTGGTGGCTGCATACAGCATGATATCTGTGTACAGCCTTTGCTCTGCTCCACACACACCTCGGAGAAACCAGCCAGAGGCTCCCTGGGACACATGGAGGTTCAGGGATCTGAGGCACGCACGGAACTAAGAGGACGGGCGCAGTTGCATGTTGACATCTGATGTCCTCGGAATGAGATTATTTTTGTTATGGAGAATTCCAATGGGCATTGACATAGGTATTTTTGTATATAATGACTGGATTTTGACTCATGGTTTGGTTTGTATAGTGAATATATGACAGTTTGATACAGATGACTTTAGGTTAGTTCTGTACATCCCTGCCTTACTGTGTAGAAATCTTGTTTTTCACAAATATACAAGCATGTATTCAATAACCTGTTTTAGTTTATGTTCATGTGTAAATAGTGTTGAAGAATAGTGCCATATGAGCATATCACCAATGGATGCAAATGCGTGTGTTCTCTTCTCTTTGATGCCACAGTGGTAACAGTGGTGTAGTGCAGTCCTCCTGAAGCCATCAGCCACTCCCAAACTGACCCTTTAACACTTTTGCACAGCTGAGGCCTTCGCTTCACTTTCCCTCCAGAACACTTCTTTTATCAGCTACAATAAACTCAATGATTATGCACATGCAGCATCCCGCTCTTCCTTTAGCACACTGCTGTATCCTTGACCACCACCACCAGAGGGAGTCACAGCTCAGTGGAGTGGGTTCCTGGAAAGCAGCACTTTGAAAAAACAAGTGTGGCATTCATCTTGTCACAACAAAAATTGCCTCAAATAAACTCTCAACAACTATAGTCAATGGGAAACTTGTCACCCAAAGATAATGAATTAAAAAGGCCAATTCTAAAATAATAATCTACTGTACATACTTATTCATAATTATTTTCCAAAACTCATTAAAACACCAAAAGAACCTTAGTAACAAGAGGAGAACACCGGAAGGTATCCACAGAGCTTGCAAGCGTGTGCTCTGTCTGAGCGTGTGAGGAGAAGGCATTTTTAAATGTTTATATAGTGCCCTCTAAACCACTTCAGCACTTCAGAGTGCATCATTCATTCACTTCACACTATGTGGTGGTAGCCACAGGTGCCCTGGGCTAATTAGGTACCATGATTCGCAAGGTCTTTTTCTTTCACTCAGTTGAAAAATGCATCAGAAATGACCACACAGTTTTGACAGAGAACCAATCTCTTCTTATTAATTATTAATACTCTGCAAAATGTACAATAAAATGCTATGTGTGATTTAGTAATGGCAACAAAATTACATAAGTATAGAAATGAGCAAAAAACAGAGGCAGAGGTGATAAGGCAGTGGCCTAGGTCCCAGCTCGCCCTGTAATCCATCTGGATTACAAACATGGCCACCACTAAAATACAAAACAAGTGATTTATGGAGTCAGTCAGGTGGTACAACACTATGTCCACAGGCTCTGGGCCTCTCTGGAGTCAGTACAGGTCGCAGTGGTTCTTGGCCCTTAGACCAGTGGAGTGGAGAAATGTTCAAATGTTCAGCTCATGGTCTGAGGTGCGTGGCAGCTCACTTCAAACAGCTTCAATAAAACAGAAGCCCTTCTGCTGCACGGCTTCACAAATCACATGCACTTTGTCCAAATCAAGACATCTCCTACACTTTAAAAACAAGAGCACATGCCAAAGGTACAAAACACAAAACAAGAACAGCTAACATAGCTCATAATCAGTCCAAGGCAGAAAATGAAATAGGAATCCCACAGTGAGTTGGCTACACTCTGAAGCTCTCTCCTTTGCCGTCGATGTGGCGCAGGCGCAGGTACACATCTGTCCCAATGCCCTGCATGGACTGGATGGACAGAGAGCCGCCCAAGTACTCTGCATAGGCCCTGGAAGTGGGCAGTCCGAAACCGAACCTGCCAGAGACACAGCCAATCAAACACTTAGTATACAAAACCAACATCACTCTATACAAGCCCAGTGTACAACCCATTTTTGGGAAATACAGGGCAGCAATTGGAGGGGTAGGGCAGGTTTTAATGTACATGGTCACACCCATCTATTAAAAAAGGCTGTTCCTGATTGTTTTTGTTTTTTTTAATAAAGTCAAATCCATTTTGTTTAGATGCATTATTATTTAAAGCAGCTGTCCAACTGCATCTCAGTTTGAAATGCAGTTTGACAGTAATCTTCGCTCTGGTGGTTGTGAAAAGCACTTATAAACTCATTTATGAATAACTGGGATGCTTGATATGCATTAGGCAAGTAAACAAAACATATGGACTAGTTTTTCCTTTAAGTTTACTACTTTCTACATTTTAGATATATACAGAAGACATCAAATATATGATACAAGATATATACAATTATGTATCAAAGAAAACAAGTTTAATAACTCAACAATATATTTATTTAATATTTTATATTCAAATCTGCAGAGCTACGACTGTTTGCTTTGTTGACAGCACTGTAAATGAAGTCTCCTGAAATATTTTTCAATTTCCAGCAGGGTCAAGAAGTGTCAAGAGCAGAAAGCAGTAATCAACGTAAAAGGAGTCTGTTTTATTTATTTATTTACCATGTAGAAATGATCTAGATAAGGCACAGATGTCAGATGCTTATACAGAGTCCAGGTGCCCTTACCCGTGCATGGGTCCAGACTGGTTGCCGCTGTTGGTGATGTTGTTGAAGAGGTTGTTCATACGGGGATCCTGAGCGCTCTCCTCGGCTGTGCTGAAGTGGTAGTCCATGACTTTGTCCAGAATGTGGTGTGGAATGCCCCCTCCGCGGTCAGAGATCCTGTGGGCGGCATATAGTGAGAAAAACTCAGACCCCACTCCCCCACCGTCCCAACATCCTGTACTGACCTGATCACAAAGTCCATGTTGTTGTTAGCAATGGTCACCACCACATCGGGGACGTTGTACGGAGTGTCCAGGTGGCTCTCCATAGTAGCCCTGAGGACACACTCTTATGAGAATCATTTGTACATTTAGGACTGAGAGATACAATAATAACAAGTAGGAGCCATTTTGGTGATATTGTCAGATTGTGATTCAAAAAGTTGTGTTTCGTTTCATTCACATATCTTTACACAAACCCTGCAGGTTTCATGACATCCTAGGGGTGAGACGAGACATGAGATTGGACAAGACAAGATTTACAAAATATAATTTGCACTATTCAGTTAATTTAGATTCTCAATTTTTGATTTATTTAATATTTTTGCAGTCATTCTAACACTGCTTTTTGGAACCACAGTAAGAGTCCAACTTGCCAGCATCACACCTTTTCTCCAATCCATGGATACAATCCAATCCAATCCAATCCAAATGTAAAAACACATAGACAAAAATCTCAGGAGATAATTTTTCGTTTGGCAATTTTATCTCTGGTGGCACGAGAGCTTGTCTCACCCCTTTGGAGTCATGTCACAGCTACCAGCTGTTTAGCCAAGGCTAATTCTGAGCTTTTACATAAAACATAACATGAACACAGCATCTGCACAGGAATTCATGCAAAAAGTACCATTTATGTAGAAAAAGTACTAGGAAACAATGTTTAATTTTAATCCCAGATTAAAATTCATCATGAGTTTTTACAGAGAAACACCAAAAAATACCAAATCTTCAGCTCACTCTCTCCAATAAAAATCCTCACATAGGATGGACCAATAGTCATGAAAACAATAAAAATATAAATGAAAAAGTGTGTTCAAACTTTTGACTGGTAGGACACTGGTAGCTTTGAGAAGTGGTCTCACATACCGCATGGCGTTCTTGAGCAGCTCAGGCAGGATGTAGTCCAGGGGCAGGGGGATGAAGGGAAAGCGCGCCGCCACATGTCCGTTGATGCGCACTCGCGGAGAGTTTCCATACTGATGCTCACAGAGACGCCTGGTCCACAAGCACACAGAACAACCATGAGTCCACAGCAGAAAGCAGCACAGCACACAGTCTTTAGGGATCAGTGATATACTGGTACAACATTAGTAACGGCCGATATCGATACCAACTCATCAGTATCGGCCAGTGTCAATACAGATATTTTTCTGCTACCCCATTCTCCATGTGTCCTTTTAAATCAGATTAATGAGTCAAAAATGAAATAGAAGAGCGTTATATGTAGGGATGTAACAATAACAGTAATATTATGGGCTGTCATAATAAATCTAATTATAAAACTCCATTGCTTAAATGCATCTTTTTATTGCAGCAATTAAAAAAATGGAAACCTACATGATCATGACCACGATCCTTTACTTCATCTAAACGCAGACACCATGAAGGAATAATGTTAAAGAAGTTCTTCATTCTTTTACATACGACCGCACTATACAGAAGAACAATACAGCGCCAAAGGCTGGTCAAGGCTTTTTAAAAAGGGAAAAAGTAGCATTTCTTTGATCTGGTTAGCATCTTCAGAATATTGCTGTAAATATCATACCATGAGATTTGCATATCGTTACATCCATAGTATGACTATGTTTACACAAACCTGAAACCATTTTATATGCAAGATAAACACATTTAATGACAGTTTACTGGAGTGAAAAGTTTATTTGAGTTCTTTACTCC